CAGCCAGTGCCAACCCATCCAGCCGTGCAAGCGCAAGCCCATGCGCTCAGAGAAACATATACCCATATACAACAAGCGCCACAAGTATCGATGCCGCAACCAAAACCGTCGCCACAAACGATCGATTTGAGTCAGAATCCAGATGCTCTGGCTGTGAAAAGTGCGATTTCGATATTACAGTTGCAGATGAGAAATGCAAAGAGGGATATGGTTACGTTGCAGAGGATTAAAGAGAGGGCGATGGAGGATCCGGAGGGATTTATAGGAAGTTTGCAGGAAGGGGAACAGAGGGAGAGAGAAGAAATTGCGAGGAAGAGGGGAAGAATGGTCGTGGATACGGAAAGTAGTAGTGATGAGGATGAAGATGAAGATGAGGATTCTGAGGAAGCCCAACAGATCAATGGAGCGCAGGCCCAAAATCCAAAGTGGGAGACCCTACCAACACCCCAGAACATAGTACGGTGTCCACCGGTTAATTGGGCAAAATATGGAGTTATGGGGGAGAGTCTAGATAAGCTGCACGCAGATCAAATCCGAACCCCAAGTCAAGGAATACCGGCTACCATTAATGCGGATTGGAGCACGACGCACAAATATGGAGATGGAAAGAAGGAGGAATACGCCATGCAGAAACCACTCGAGATAAACGAGGTGGAACCGAAACTGAAGAAAAAAAGATCACCTGCTAGTAAAAAAGATTGAGCGGACTCGATACAAGACAAGCTTCAATAGCAAACAAGAAACATATCACATGGGAAGGAGTTTTTGCATTTTATACATTTCAGCATCGGGATTGGGGCGGGTCTTAGAACATATGACATTATGAATACGAGGTTATGATAGGATTTTAGGATTGGAGATGGTATAGCGTGGCGTTTTGGTCAGGTAGCAGATGCATAGCAGCTTTGGGGTTCTCTCTCTCTCTCTCTCTCTCTCTCTCTGTATATTGACTAGATTTGGGTTGCGCGGCTAGTGCCATATAAATGGCTGGCCAAGCTGCACACTCTTATTCTTTTAATCAGCGTAAATAACACTTCGGGCATTTATTCATCAATTTATTATTTCATTTCCTCCTTTGCATTGACACGTCTCCATTTCTTTCATTCTCTTCTATATCGGTCCGTCTACGTTCTTTCACTTTCGATTGTCATATTACCATATTCATCACACTTAACCATCCTCCCCCCAAACTTATCTCTCCCCCCTTCCTTCCAACCCCCAAAGTCCAAGGAAGCCCTACTCCCCAGCAGCAAACAATCTTACCCTCACCTCATAAGGCGACATAGTCAAACTCAGTTTCTTCCCCAACATCCCATCTTCTCCATTCATATCAACCGCTTCGATTCTTTCGTATTTTTGAAGAAACCGCGCGATCACAAAACTGGCTTCGTTGAGCGCGTATTGTTCTGTGGAGAGGGGGGGTGTTAGTCGGATATCCTGTCCCGTTCTGGTCTTTCTTACGCTTGCTATTACGTTGTGCTCTATTTCGTGATTTTCTTATGTATGCGTGTACAAGTGAACTCGATAAACCACAATCCAATCAATCCAGAAAATCCGCATTATGCCTACAACCCAAAACATAAAAACGAAAAAAAGAAAGGGAAAAAAACTCACGACCAATACACACTCTCGCCCCTCCACTAAACCCCCCAAACTCCCACCCCAATCGCCTCCCCTCCCACCTCTCAGGTTTCCACTCCAACGCATCTTCCCCCCATATATCCCCCCGTCGATGCATCACGTACGTACTATAAGCTATCCTCTCACCCCTCCTAACCACTATCGGTTTTTTGCCATCACTCCCGCCACCAACCGGTAACACGGTATCGCGGGTCGCGACGCGCGAGTTCATGGGCACGATGGGATAAAGCCGGAGAGTTTCGTAGAGGATGTGGGTTAGTGTTTTACACGTTTTGAGGGTGGTGAAAGAGAGAGGGGAGGAGGAAGATAGGGGGCCGAAGTGCGCGAGGATGATAGAACGGTATTTGGTGTAGCGTGCAGGATTGCGCGAGAGGAGGAGAAGCGTCCAGGCGAGGAGCGCGGCGGTGGTGTCGCGGCCGGCGAGGAGGAGGTGCAGCATTTGATCGCGGAGTTCGGTGGGGTTACGGGTTTGGGTGGCGAGAGCGTTGAGGAGGATGTATTTTTCTTCTTTCTCGGGGTTGGGCGCGGGTGGGGAGGTATTGGGAGATGCAGACTTTGGAGACGTGGAAGAGAGAGCTCGCTGTACGAAATCGGCGGAATAATCTTTACAGATCTGGCACGCGTCCAGAAACTTCTGGGAGCGCGCCAGCCACCATAATTTGAAGAGTTTCACGCGGAAAATTATGTAGTCTTGGGAGTAAGACATCGCTTGCACGAATTTCTCCTCTGCTTGCAATTCTGTGTTGTTGCCTGAGTCAATAGACTGTAGAGCGGTCGTTTGACTGTTGACTGATTTTCCAAAGAGGAATTCTGTGCTAACGTCCATTGTGAAACGCAGTAACAGAGGAAGGAGATCTACCTCCTCTGAGCTTGTTTGAGGAAGTGCTCGATAGAGAATCTGGAGATGATGATCTGCGGCTTCTAGATCACTTATTTGATCTCTGGAAAACTGAGGCTTGAGTTGTTGACGATAGTGCGCCCATGCTTCGCCGTCCGCGGTGAAGATGCCGTTGCCGAGTAATTCAAACATGTTTTGGCTTCTGCTGGGGCCGAGCTCGAAATCGGTAAAGTTGGTGGCGAGGATCGCTTGCATGTTTTGGGGGTCGGAGGTTGATATTAGGGAGTGGAAGGGGTTGAAGATTCGGTAGGTGCCGACCCCCATTTTGAGATGGCGTGCGCGGACGTGGTCTTCGAGGATGTCCATGCCTGTGTATGGTCAGGATTGTGAGCTGGTTGATGAAAAGAAGGTCAGGTGTATGGGAGATTCATGGAAGTTTGTGTATTGTATAGAAGAAAACTAGACTTCTTGAAATGCCTGTCCTATTGACCTGAAGCCATACACACAGTCACCCAATGGCAGGCATCCAGAGAAACTTTGACTTCAAAGTAAAATAAATCCAGTATCTTCCATCCCCATCCCATCACCTATACCTTCCCAAATCATAAAGAAGCCCACAGCATACATACCCTTCTTAAACTTCAACATCCCCCAATATCTTTCTATTCCCCCAGGCAATTGATTTTTCAAGACTTTCGGTTCTTCACACCCGTGCTTCCTCCCAAACCTCCTCAATCTCAACCAAGTCACTTCATTCTTAACCCACGCATATACTATCCATGCCGTCAGAAACAGAACCGTACCGCTAAAATACGATATTGACATTGTCCTTCAAGGCTTTGGTGACTCTCAATATCAGAATGGCAAAAAGTATACAATAAACAACAAGACAAAGAAACCAAAAACAAGAGTGGCAGGTGACAAAAAGAATGAACCACTGCTTTCTTGTATGATTTATACACGACAACCACAAGCCACAATCTAACGTCCTTGCGTCAATAATCATCTCGCGAAGCCGTAAATTCCACGCATAACGAATCCTTCCCTCTCCCACAAAACAATCGTCTCCACTTCTCACCTAATCTTCATCTTTGTGTACAGCCTCACTACGCCGACGGAGTGAGAAATGTCAGACAAATCCGAATGCGGAGCGGAATCAAAACTGTAGATTATCCTACATGAGCGGAAAAGGATTGAATATTCGGTCCGTTCCCGTTCCCCCCGCCGCCGCTGCTATACTCATCGCATTCTTTATATATTTAGAAAAGTTCCTAGGGCTGTGAGATGTAACTAGTCAAAGCTAAGTCGCAGGTTGTAGTCTTATTATATCCATTGAAGCAATGCTACCGATGTGATTTGCATACCAGGTATTTACACACCACTGAATTGGTTGAATTGTCAATACCTCTCGTCCATACAACCTCAATTATAGTCTTCTTATTTTGAGAACAAGATGTGAACGATCACCCATCACATCTTACCTACCCGTACCATGAAGTATAAAAGAACGTTCTACCCAAGAGCGATGAATTGCTCCCTCCCCTCGGACAATTCCTTCCTCTCCTCCATCCGGGAATAACATCTCGGAAGTAACATTTTCCAAAATCACACTCATTCCGATCACTAGTACCTAGTCTCTCTAACTTCCCCACTTTCTTTCTTCACTTATGTCGATCAAATTCCGCTCATTCTCGTTCGTGTAACCGATATGCAACAAAACAATCTTGTCACTCATCATCTTCACGTGATATTCGGTCATAAACGACTAAATTAGGACATGGCCGGCCCCTTCGCATTCGCTAAAATTCACGATTCTGATTGGACATACATTTGCTAGTGATGAAATAAATGGGAAGGGTAAATGAAGATATTCGTAAAAAATGCTAAGGGTAGTGGGTATGCATTAAAAACGGTGTGGGTATGGAATAAGGCATGTAGAATGAGGATGAGGAGGCAAGGTAAGAAAGGAAGATGGCATTCATTTCCCTCCTGTTCTTGTTTGCATAGAGAGAAGCTAATAGGTAGACGGGTGAGCAAAGGAGCAATTATAGTATTGTACAGCATGCTGTGCTTCACCACTCACGGATACCAACACCAACATGCATGAACTGCTCGCACAAATCTTAAAGTTTACAGATCCCATGCAGATACCCTCAGCTGAAGAACCATCCCCCTCAATCAAACCTAAAAACTCACCTGTTTCGGCGTTTACACCGGCCTAGGACATACTAGCTTAGCCACTTCCCAAATAGAGTTATTAGAATCCACGTAGCTCAAATAAACGAATGCGAAATGCATCTCGACGTGCAACAAAAAAGGTTGAGACAAGATTTCCATTCATATGATACGCTGAAAAGATCAATGCTAAAGTTGACACGAATCTTGTATCCGCAGTAGAGTACAATTATCCATATATGACCCCACATATGACTGCAATATTCCAAGATGTGGTGGCCTAGACCAGTGATGGGTATTTCTTTTCCGAAGGAATAAAATGAACAGTCGTTTAGTCCTTATTAAACTAATCCGAATCGCTATCCGGTTCCGAGTCAGGGAATCCATTAAAGGTGCCTTCTTCATCCGAATCTTCCAATGAGACTTTCGAATCCTGTGATGCTTTCCCTGAATCTTCCTCATCTTCCTCATCGTCATCCTCGTCATCTTTAACACCGAAAGCACCGCTGATGTCCCATCGATCGCCTTTTGCGTTTTTACTAACGTATTTGACGAATTTCAATACACCGCTGTCTCTCAAGACAATGCTCATCTTATTCCACGAAGCCGGCATAGTGAAAAGTACTCCATCATCTTCTTCCTCTCCTGCAGCTTTGTAAATTGCTGCATCTTCGTCATCCTCATCATCGCCTGCCATAAACACTAAATGACCTCCAACATCATCTTCTTCCTCTGGTTCTGGCGTAGGTTCCTTTTTGGGCTCTGGTGCCTTCTTCTTGCCATTTGTCTTTTCTTTGCCCTTTGACTTTTTGGATTTTGGTTTAGGCTCATCCTCTTCCTCCTCCTCATTTTCCTCCCCGTTATCTTCATTTTCTTCGTCATCATTAGCATCGTCGCCCCATCCAGTTGTAGGCGTCAATCCCAAGTCGACCTCTAATCTTGGCTCTCCTTCGTAATTCTTCGCGAGAGCATAATCTGAACCCTTGCGAAATCTACGTGCCAAAAGGTCATAATTTTCAATTTGACATGATGTAGCAATCTCAAGCCATTTGCGGAATTGAGGGCTTGGAAGTAAAACATTAAGAATTTCTTCGATTGGATTCAATTCGTTTTGACCACCTGAAACTTCACTAGATGGCTTTTGATAGAGGAAACGATGTTTGTGAGGTGGCTTAGCAACCTTCCAAGAACCCTTCTCGATTTCAACGCTGCTATCTGGTAGACCTGCAGCTTCTTCCGCTTCGACATATTCTCGTACTTTGGTTGAAAATTTGACAGATAGAAGACCATCAAGAGTAACATTTGACTCCTCCTCGAAACGTTCGGTAATTTGCTCCAAGGTATCCGGTGTTAAGTAAGTGGGCGCCATATATTTGAGTAAGAAGTCCAAATCTGCCTCTTCAAGACCATTCTCATCAGCATCTTCAATCGTAGATTCCGTCACAGTAATTGGCTCTTCCTTCGGGAAGTCATATTTATCTGGGTTGCCCTGCAATTGCATCAAACTGCTATTCTTCCCCCATTTCTCTTCAGCTCCCTTGACGTATCCTTCTTCTCCAATTTGTGGAATGTGAAACCATCCACTAACAGCCATCCTAACTCTACCACCATCTTTTTCCAATTCTTCTTTGTTTGCGGCATGATATACCTCTTCAACATCGTGGAAACTCTGACCTGGTTGAACAGCAAAGAAGCTCAATTGATTCCAAGCCGGTGGAATAATCTTCGAGGTGTCAGGGCTAGGAGTAATGGTTGTCACACCATCATCCTCGAACTCTTTGGTAGGGAACAATCTCAAAGCTCCACCCCATTCTTCCTTCCAAGCCACATCCGGATCAGTTAAATACAAAATGTAGCTGACTTTTCGACTTCCAATCACATCATCGTGACACAAGAGATGGCAGCCTGGAGTATATACATTGATAGCCATATCCGTTTTCCTTCCGCTCAATTCTCCAGAGCCTGTAATCTTCGCAACATATTTTCGAAATGAAGACGAGTACAATGCATCTCGTAGCCTGAGTAAAGAAGGCAGTTTTTCCAGCGCACCATCATCCAACCCATCCAGATTTGCCAAGTCTCCAGATTGATGAATTTTATAGATGTCCGTTTCCTTCGGTGTGAAGTGCACATTTTCTCGAATTTCGTTGCGAACGGCGCGGAGCAAAGCATCGTCGATTAATGGGCTGATGACTTGATGTTTATATGGTTCCGAGTTGGCATATTCTTTGGTATATTTCTTGAGGACCTCCTTGTCAAAGAGACCCTTTCTAAAAGACTTCCTTGCATCTTCATCCGACAATGCTGTTACATAAGATTGGGTAAGTTTGTGTGGCAGATGAAGAATAGTTGATGCAAAGACATACCTTTCTTTGCACGTTTCTTCAGGATACTTTTGCCATTCTGGCCATTAGATTGAGTATCTGCCTTGCGCTTCATATTGAAAATTGTAATAATGTGTTGATGAAAGGTACCAGAATAACAATTCTCGATTGAGAAAATTAAAAGATTTTCGGGATTATCAGTTCATAATAAATTTGAAGCTTGCTTCTCCAATGACGATTTTGCCAGGGCGGTGAATCTTTTTACGGGGCCAGCTCGAAACGCTGAGGTTGGATTTAGAAGAAAGGAGTTTTGACACTTGCACAACTTCACTGGTATATCTGGAATGCGTACGAAGTATGCTGATCATATCTATCTACTATAAAAAGATTTGCATCTACGCGCTGTGGATTCAATGCAGGAAAGGTTTCTTAAGATGAGAATACCCTCAAGTTTGAGATTGAATATCAATACGTCCATCAATGCTCCTGCATTGTGTCAGGAAAAGCAGTGAGAAGATACCTCAACGTCAATTGGCTTGCGAGATTCAACGCTTTTGATAGATTGGTCAGTGTGGAAGCACAAGTGCCTCGAGACTGCACTGCATTCGGGTTATTTTCATCCGCTATTTCTGAAGAGGAAGCTCCATTGGGCAATCCTTGATTACGGCCCCTCAACCCCACGTTGCTATCCATGCCGATGATAACCATGTTATCATGAAGTAATAAGGACAAGTCAACAATCTTCTTGCCATTCCGAGTCACTTCTTCTACTGTTAAACCTGCAAGATCAACTATTGAAACCATAACACAGCGACAATGAGCTCCTTCGATATCACAGCCACAAGAAAGTGCTTCCCATCATTGGACAAGAAACAAGTGTATTTTGACAATGCCGGTGGTAGTCAAACCCTAGGGACTGTCATAGACAGGTATAGTGCACCTCTCTACTACATTGCTATGAGATGTACAACAGATAATCTCACACATATAAAGCATCCATGATTACCTCATCAATTCCAATGTTCAACTCGGTGGTTCATACAATGTGGGCAAGAAAGCAAATACAAGTTACTCTGCAGGATATGAGGCAGCGGCTAGATACATCAATGCACCCCCATCCAATATTGGTAATCCCCTTTTCCTCATTCTCCTCATCCGTTGAGTGATCTGATATCTGACGTTACCTCTTAGTCCTCGGTTCAAGCACAACTCAGAATTTCCGAAACCTTTCCCAGGCTTTTGACTTTCCACCCGATTCTGAGTTGATCATATCATCCATTGACCATGAATCAAACATTGCCTCCTGGGTTGCTCTCGCTGAATCCCAAAAGTTTACTATCAAATGGTGGACTCCACCTGCGTCAAGTAACCCAATTCTGACTCCCGAATCACTGTGTGTTTAATCCTCCTTTGGTTTCGTATTTTCAAAGATTAAACCCTGGCTGCATATTTTGTCCCGCTTGATGAACTCCTCTTGCTGCGCAATAGACGCCATAAGCATACGTTTTTCTTGTAGTCCATCCCGACTAGACAGCTGATTGATCCCATTCTAGTCGCCCCCTTCTCTCCTCAAAGACCGCTCTTGTAACCCTCACTCACGCCTCTAACATTCTTGGTACCATCCACGATATTCGCGGCAGTAAGCAATCTCATGATTTTCACACAGCACACTAAAATCTAAAATCAATCTCGAATCAATCATATATATCTCCCCATCCAACCCAACTTTCTCTCCAAGTCCTCCCAACTCACACTTCCTTCTCACTAAATTCTCCTCCAGTTTCCGACCTCGTGCACACCATCCCAGGCGCACTCCTCTGCGTCGACGGCGTAGCCTACTCTCCCCACCGTCCTCTCGATGTCCAAGCCCTCGGCGTAGACTTCTACGCCTTCAGCTGGTACAAAGTCTACGGCCCCCACATTTCCCTCCTCTATGCCTCCCCCTCCGCTCTCTCCTCCCTGAAATCCCTCGGCCACTTCTTCAACCCCAGCAAAACCCTCGCCGACAAACTCGCTCTCGCAGGCTCAAACTACGAGCTCACAGGCTCCATCCCAAAAGTCGTCGAGCATTTTGAAAATCAATCTTGGGAGGCAATTTGTCTCCATGAAGAATCGCTTCAGAAAACTCTCCTTCAGTATCTTCTGTCTAGATCCGAAATCCAGATTCTCGGTGAACAATCTTGGGATACGAAAAAGAGAGTTTGTACCATCAGTTTTCTCGTGCAAGGATTCGGAAGTAGGGAATTTGTGGAAAAGGTGGATGAGAAAAGTATGGGGGAGGTGGGGATTAGATGGGGAATGTTTTATAGTAATCGATTGTGCAAAGACGTGTTGGAATGTGGAGACCAGGGAGTGGTCAGAGTTAGTTTCGTGCATTACAATAGTTGTAAGTTCTTGCTTTTCTTTTGATTTTGTTTTAGTTGGAGAAAATTAGCGGTGCTAATATATGTGGTTTCAGTGGAAGAAGTAAACCGCTTGATTGGCATTTTTGATGAGATCCTTGGGAAAGCATAGATTCATCACGTATATACGCTTAGAAAACAATTGATTGCGCTTGCTTGCACGCTAAATAAGAAATTCAAAAACTGGACAGCAGAACCCACTGAAATGCCGAGCATTAATTTTCAACCACTGAATTCCTACTTCCGATCTCCCTCTCCCTTATTAATATAAAATATCCAGTTGCAGATTCCAAATTCAAGTCCAGGGTATAGTGCTCCGTGCTAATTTAATTGGCCCATTCATTGCACGAAAGATTTCCTTTCCTTGACCCTCCCCGATCACCGATACCAAAGCTTCGAAAACACACAAGAAAGCAGGATTTGTGCAAAAGAAATATCAACCCCGTCCCCAGAACATTCCATTACTTCTTTTCGGTGGCCTGAATTTACCAAAAGTTTGCTCCAATTCTTCTTCCGACCAGCGGCGATGAGGCTCCGTGCCTATGTATTCACCACTGTGACCTCGAGCGAAATGTTTTAGATACCTTGTAGAGAGTTGTTAATCCATGATTCATAGTCTGTGATCGATGCGCTATAAATAACGAGGATAAAGGAAGCATGACTTAAAAAATGAATAACATACTCTTTCCTCGGCATATAGACTACCTTCGTTAACTTCTTTTCCTTGTCATCTCCGTTTCTGCCCTTGTCCTTTTTCTTCTTAACAAGTCTTGAGACTAAACCTGTCTTGCTTTTCTGTGGAATAGTATCGTTGTGGCTACTGTCTGAGCCAGAAGAATCACGTCTTTCGGCGGGAATAACATCGACGACGATGGCGGGGATGATAGAATCTTCGCTTACGTGGGTATTGTGAAAGGAGGGGGCCGCATACATATGTTCAGAGTAGGTATGTGCGGTATAAGACGAAGCTGAGAGGGCGGAAAGACGATGGGAGTGGGGAAGAAGAGGCTCGTTGTCGGAGCTAGTGATAGGGGGAAGCTGTTAGTTTGGAAGATGGAGAATGTATGCAGTGGGTTCTTTCTTTCACCAAAGAAGTTCTGATTCATGACGATATTGGAGATGAGTAGTGAGGATCGTTCCTTTAGTACGATGAAATATGAAGGAGAAGGGAAGTGAGCGCTTACTCATAGAGATTGGCGGAAGGATATGTAGCGGAACTGTAACGTTGATGAGGTACAGCGAGGTCGGCTGGGTATCGATAGTATAGAAGCATTGGAGCGGCAGCCATCATGGTCGATGAATCAAACGATTATCAAGAGCACTGGCGAAAGCCTTTAAATAAGTAAAGAAAGAGGTTTCTGGCAAGACTTTGGTAGGACTCCCTACAATGAAGAGGCCGACAACGGTCCCGGAAGCTTTAAGGCTTTTCAAAATGACCTGGATGAAGGGGCGGTTGAGCAATTTATGCCCTCATCCGAGATCACATTGTACGACTGAGTGGCCACGATCTTTCAATACCTCGAGGTACTTTTGTCGGTTTGTTTGATCGATCGGTAATGAATATGTGATCAATCACAAGATGTCAACACAAACATGAGGTTATTGAGGTTATATTGCCAATCTGTATTCCCCGAAATGCGAGAAATATAAGATACACAGGAAATCAATTAGAGTCTAGACGTATGAAATCAAGATTTAGATAGGATTTGGTGTATTTATTAAGGTTTTTATTGACCGGTAATCGGAATCCCGAATGTTCGTATTTATGCCCAGGTGAGACAAGAGTTGCTTGACTTCGAGACTTCCTCGAGACTTCTTGATTAGATTTCCCCGCATTTCTTATCTCTTATCTTAGCGCATGATTTGTGGGTTGATGATGGATTGATGATGGATTGATGATGGCATGATCAAGAAAAAAACCCCACCTCCAAACCCAATATATTGAATGCCTGATATTTCAGTTGCTTAGATATTGAACTGAGCTCTCGGTGAGGGAGGGGGAGACGAGTACGAATAAAACAAATACCCCCACCATAATAAATACAACTTTGTCTGACGTACTTTCAAGATTCAAATCTGCAAAACTTATTTCAAATTTCTTATTACTCTTTCTGTCAGCATATCTGCCGAAAGATTATTATCAAAATGTCACCTCAAGCTATTATCGCTCCATCTATTCTATCTGCAGATTTTGCAGAATTAGGAAAAGCATGCTCTGATACAATCGGTCAAGGAGCAGATTGGCTCCATGTAATTGAATGCCAGCCCACAATGTTGAAATCATGCTAATCTGCGATTTTGTGATTTGCAGGTAGATATTATGGATGGGCACTTTGTGCCAAACATTACTTTTGGAGCACCTGTCGTTACGAAGATCAGAAGTCATGTCGACCGACCAACGGCTAAACATGGAAAGGGAACATTCGATTGTCATATGATGATTGCTGAGCCAAAGAAATGGGTAAAGGAATTTCAAAAGGCCGGATGCGATCTTTACTGCTTTCACTACGAAGCTGCAATTTCAAGCACTGCAGCAGAAAGTCCGGAATCGACCAGCGAATCAAAGACGAATCCAAAAGAATTAATCAGATATATCCATGACAATGGAATGTTGGCAGGAATAGCAATCAAACCAGATACAAAAGTTGACGTGCTATGGGATATTCTCGAAAACCCCGAAGAAAAGGAAAGACCAGATGTGAGCATTTTCATG